TTTGACCAGCTGGTGTCAGCAGCGACAGCCACAGCGTTCCCTGACCCACTTAGTTGAATGGTGCCGCTGCGTTTGAATTGTGACCCGGCGGAGGTAATCAAAGCCTTCGCCGACCTTCCTTTTGTGGCAGAGTCTGGTTCCTCTGAAAGGGGGGGGGTGGGGGGGGGGGGTGGGGGGGGGGGGGTTGTGGTTATCAAAAGACTGGCAATCCCTGCTGTTGTCTGCACAGTGGATGTGGTGGGCACAATCTGTTTTTTGTTTTTTCACACCAGCTCGCTTTGAGTGCTGGTAAATTCATTCTCATCAGGTCAGGAAATGACCAGCGGTTTATTTGCTAAATCTGACCACCAGCACACATGCCTCTGGCTCGGTGGTTTGCCCGCTCCAGTGGAAACGTCAGTGGGATGTTTTTTGAGACACTGGTCCTAAAATGTCTCGAGCTGGTGGATTTCAGGAGGAGCTGGACACTGTGGCCTAAAGACAAAGGTGCTGTTCTGCTCCAGTTCTCCTTTTAGACCATGTTTGTGCATGGACCTAATTTATCTGTGGAGTATCTGTGCTGCTAAACAGTGCTCAGTCGCTGTGACATAAGTCAGGGATGGGATGTAGCTTGAGGCAGTCGAGCCAGATAGAAAATTTAAATATTGAACATTTTGGTTCTTTGTGACGCTCTGCTTTCACGACTTGCGCCTCCTCTCGCCTCATCGTCGAAAACACTCGTGCCAACATCAAGTCTTCTGGAGTATCTCGTCGTGGCCTTCTCTAATAGACCGTCCTCCTCTTCCCTCCTCCCTTTTATCCCTCTCCTCATTTTTCCTCGCACTCCTGAAGGATGGCCACACTCCTCTCACGCTTATTTTCAGTTACCTAGCAACCAGGAAGAGATGCTTTTTCTTTTTTTTTGGGGGGGGGTGGTACTTTGCGATGGAAGCGGGGGCGGGGTGAGGTGTGCATTGTTCGGGAAATAAACGGCTCATGAATGCAGTGCCACTGAAAGGAGGCGGCGACGGAGCACTGTTTTAAGTAAAGCATTCACTGAGCGACAGCGTTGTTTCATTACTCAGTGTCTGACTCAATTAGCACCTCCATTCACCAGGGCTTCACCGCTGTTATGGCGATGCGTTTGCATCCTAATTATCAGTGTGGCGGAGAGAGCAGGGTGTGTAACCACACCTCTTTAACTGGAGAGTACCGGTACATGACAGATATCACAATCACAACAAATACAATAAACGTGCAGAGAATTGCACGTTGTTTAAATTCCTCTGTCAAAAAAAGAAATTCTAAAAATGTACAGTGGTCCAAACCCCTGAGCGCTCTGCTGCCAAATGTCCATTTAGTTCACTCAGTCACTAAATTAGCTTAAATCAGGTGAAAACCTCTGTTGAATTTTGCTGCTGCTGAATGGGCTCTTGTTCTGGCTTCGGGTTTATGAATTGAATTAAGTCGTTTGAGCACATGCATGTGTTTCCTCGGTGAAGCATGTGACGTTTGGGCAGAAGCTGCACTCGCAGGTACTGTAGCTGTAGTACAAAGAGACAGTGAAAAACCTTGGTGCGTTTTTCAGTATCCAGTTGCTCCTAATAAGAAAACCAGGTGGGAGTTAAACTGGATTTTTGCAAACAAAATAACTCCTGCCTTCCTCTGTGATTATCCCAGCTACACCTACAGCGCCCCGTCTGAGCTGCTGATCCCCGTTCAGATCATATCAGTGCCGATCAGATCAGGGGCAGAACTCGTGAAAAGGTGGCATGAGAGTGGATCACACTGAATGTGATATAACAGATGGGATATTATATATATATATATATCTCTCTCTCACACAGATCCCTGCTCACTTCCTCCTCACCTCTCACCGGAGCGCTTGCGAGAGAGTCCCCTCGTGTAATTAACACAACCCCAGGAGAAGTCTTTAGTGAGGTTGGGAGAGAGAGTCGGTGCACTGCAAACATCATTCATCTTTACAAGTCTGCTGCAGTCTTAAAACCTGCCAGCACGGAGTGAGATAACTCCATTTGCCTCCGATTCACTGTCATTGACAACAAGTGTAAAAATCTAAACATAAAACAAGCAACGTCACTTTATTGGTATCATGAAACAGGAGTGTATGGGAGTTTCTAAAAGTGAATTAACTCAATGTAAACTGTTAGAAATTGTCCGTAGTTGAAATTCAGATACAGGAAGTCACATTTTTACCTACAGTGAAGGATTAGTCTGTGCTCCGTGTCCACCAGGTGACATGATACATGGTACAAAGTGTCCAAAACACGTGTCGATGCTCCAGTAAACACAGCTGGACTTCAACATCTGGAGAAAGAGGACTTTGATTGGAAATTTGTGAAATTATCCCAATGCAATAACCAGATTGTGCCTGTTAAAAAAAACAAAAAACAGATATTTTTTGCAGTGTAGCAGGAGTTAGAGCAGAGCAGGGGTCTCCTGCCTGTGCTTGAGGCACAAAGACGTGGGGAGAGGAGGAGGAGGAGGGCGACTGGGTTTGAGACACAAAAGAACAGAGGCCTCCATCGGTACACGCTCCTCTATTCAGCAGCCGAGCTAATCCACATGCTAGCTAGCTTCACCCCCCCGATTCGCAGCGGGGCCCACGAGGACGTCCGGCTGACCTCCCATCTATTCAGGTTAGCAGGCTGTTGTATGGACCCGGCCACTACTGTACCCATTCATTCATACGCTCACAGCAGGCCCCACTGCTGCACCACTGCTGCGCAGCACACCGGGTTATGTGTGCACTTTATATTTGTTTTTACTACTTTTAAAGGCTCCGTGCTCCAGTCTCCATTAAAGTTTTACAGTACGCATCAATAATGAGACTTATCACTGGCAGCAGGTTCACTGCGAGCACGTCAGTGTGTCCATGCATCCAGAAAGAGGCAGAAAAACTTGAATCATTTAGATCTAGAGCTCTGAAAAGGTTCAGATGTCCTGAATACTGTTTGTGTTTTGCAAAATAATGCAAAAAAAATAAAAAAATTAAATAGGTTAGTATGTGTATGAGATTATATTTGGTGGTGCTAAGAGCTAGCAAAATAGGTACCTCATTAAAATGTGCAGCACCATTACTGTTGGCATTTGTTTATGTTCCATTTACATAATTTCCACGTCCAATTACAATTAAACCTTTATGTTTAATTGTAATTTTGCATCTTACATCCGCTGGAATTTAATTTCTTGGGCACTTTCTTGCTGCTATTTCCTTATTTTGCCATTAATCTGCCTTTGGCTGTGGGTCCAGTTAAATGAATTCTGTGTGCATTGCATGTTTGGAAATATGTTTACAACACTCCTCCGTACATGTGATGTGGTTTGTGCATGAGGTAAAAAGACTTGAGACTTTAGTCATTAAAAGCAGCGACAGCTCACACCCTTTAGATTTTTCCTGTTTAATCTAAAAATGTGTCTGTTGTTAAATGTTGAATGAAAATGAAACATTTACTGCAACAAGATTCAATGTGACAATTATTTTCTCTTTTCTTTTACCTTAAACGCAGGTTTTGTTGATGATAATGTGATTACAGTGGAGGATGTGTTTTCTGTCTCCCTGATGGCCAGGTGTGTGTGCGTGTGTGTGTGTGTGTGTGTTAACAGCAGGTAAACACACATCAGCCTCCGATGCTTTGCCTCATACTCGTTTCAATTTGTCGAACTGACAGACTGAAGCCCCCTGCCCCCCTCTGCTGCTTCTGCTTCTTCCAGTGTGTGTGTGTGTGTGTGTGTGTGTGTCTGTGTGTGTGTGTGTGTGTGTGTGTGTGTGTGTGTGTGTGTGTGTGTGTGTGTGCGCAGAAAAACAAATGGTAGACAAACCATTTTGATTGGCCTGCTTCCCACTCTTTTTCTCCAGTGCCCCCTCAGCTCCAGCTGCCTTCGTCCTCCTCCTCCTCCTCCTCCCCCTCTGTATCTCTTTATCTGCCCCCCCTCTCCTCCATCTTGCCCTCCCTCTCTCTCTTCTTCGTTCCTTCCTTCCCTTACCGTACCTCCTCTTCTCCGCGCTCACATCCTCTTGCCCTCCTTCCTCCTTTCCTCATCCCCTTTTTTGCTTCTGCCCTTCCATCCCTCCCTCTCTACTCTCTTGCACTCCCTCTTTTTCCATCTCCCCCTCCCTGTTTCTCCTTGTTTCTTTCTCCCTCCCCCTCCTTACCTCCCTCCCTCCGTCTCTCTCTCTCTCTCTCTCTCTCTCTCCATCTAGCAGCAGCGGTAGTCAGTCAGTCTTTTTACAGCTCCCCCCCGTCCTGACGTCACTTTCTGTTTGCATAGCTATTGTCTTACAGCGGCTGCAGCAGCAGCTCCTCACCAGATTTTCAGTTTTTCACTCCCCCATTCTCTCTCTCTCTCTCTCTCTCTCTCTCTCTCTCTCTCTGGGAAAGCCTCTCTCTCGCTCTCTCCCTCCCCCCCTTCTCTCTCTCTCTCTCTCTTTTCATTAGTAAATCCTACAGTGGAATGAGAAGCGAGAGAGTGACGGAGAGGAGAGGATGAGGAGGAGGATATAGACTGCAGAAAGAGGGAGAGATGCGATAACTAGCCACAACCACGTCTCCGTGTCTGGATCTGACCACAGTTTTTCCTCGGCTAGGAAGGATTTCTGCTCCTATTTTTTGTTTTATATTTATTTATTGTTCCAATCCACCACAAGGCCTCTTGTTGTTTTTGTTTTTTTTTGTTGTTTTGTTGTTTTTTTTGGTTTTTGTGCGGCTGGACTAACTGAGCGCGTGCGTGTGTGTGGAGGAGGGCTTTTAAAGCAGCGACGGATAGCGGAGCTGGGGCATCTGGCCGTCTGGGAGGCAGCGACGGCCGGCTGGCTGCATTGTGTTGCTTTGATGACCCCCGCTGTGTAGCTGCCTGCTCATCAACCCCCCCCCCCCTCCCCTTCTCTCTCTCTCTCTCCCCTTCTCTCTCTTACCCTCCCCTTTCCCTCTCCTCTCTTTCCTCCTTCTCCTCCGCCTCCTCCTCCTCCTCCTCCTCCTCCTCCTCTCTGTCCATCACAGCTCCCGGGCCCAGCCATGTTCGGCACAGAGTCCTCATGTAAGTACCACCACCATCCTCCCGCCTCCTCTGTGTTTGTCTGTGTTGATGTATTTTTCATGGTTGTGTGTGTGTGTGTGCTTTATCTGTAGGAGAGGAAGGAAAAGGAAATGGCTATGTTTCCTCTGTTCCTGCATCCCTCCTCTCCTCTCCTCTCCTCTCCTCTTCCTGTTTTGCCTCCATGGTTGCTGGTGGCAGATTGCATGGGGAGAAATCTGGGATCTACCATTTTAGCACGGAGGGTCGGCACCACAAGCTAGCTGATCACGCTGAGCTTACCGCCCGCCTTGCATTCTCTCACTCTCAGCCTTACTGAGTGTCCGTGTGTGTGTGTGTGTGTGTGTGTGTGTGTGTCTGTCTGTCTGTCTGTGTGTGTGTGTGTGTGTGTGTGTTTGTGTGTGTCTAGTGTGTTGTGTTCGATCATCTCCTGACTGTATGTATTTTCAGTCCTCTTCAGTGTAATGGCGTGCCGGTTGAATGCTGTTTAAGTGTGTCTCTGTGCATGCTTGTGCGCGCGTGTGTGTGTGTGTGTGAGTGTGTGTGTGAGTGAGCATGTCAGAAGATGGATGCTTTCTCCGGAGTTGCATCGCTTCCAGAAGCATCAGCCTCCACTGTCTTCTTCCTCCGGCTCGGTCAGACCGCTGTAGGGATCTTCAGTGTAGTGTTGCTACCGGAGCTAACGCTGTGCACGTGTGTGTCTCTGGGCCACTGTGCAGCTCCTAACATCCCTCAGAAGAGTTGAGAGTGTTGATCTGTAAGGTGCCCCCCCCCCCCGTCCTTCTTCCCTCTACCACACCCTCACTAGAAAACCTTTCACTTTGATCAATATCATGATGCATAACTACCGATACCTGATCGATGCTTCGCGGCGGTCTGAGCTGATTGATTCTGTCGTGGTCAGAAGTAAGTGGAAGTGTCTTTTCGGACGTCAGATCGGAGCTAGCACGCACAGACTGTGGTGTGTTAGCGTCCCCGCCTCTTACAGTGATGGAGAGCTGTCATGCAGCACCTTCTCCGCCGAGCAGCCGAGTGTGATCTTTGTTTATGAGGCGTGCAGCTGAGTATTCTGGAAGCACAGCCCCCCCCCACCCCACCCCCCCGGTTACAGATCGCATCTTACATGTCACCGGAGCCGGATGGAGGTCGCGTGTCCTTGTGGTTTTCAGATTCTGAATTCTTGCCAAAATCCGAGGTCGTTTGAGGGTCAAACTTAATGCTTTAACTAACTCAGCGTGACAGCAGCTTGTCCTTGGTGTTTTCGGCTGCTGGAGCAGCTTCTTGCTCTGACAGACGGGTTTGGACACATTTATCAAGCCCTGGATACAATTTTAATGAAGGTATTTTTGGAAAGATCCTTATTTTTGATGAGATTTCATAATCGTAGGGATCATGTGATAATTCTAGTTGTCTTTCTTTTGCAATCAAGGTATATGATTACACATGGCAAGTGTGTAGGCTGAGCTCATGCTTCTATTTTGAAATATATATATAGGATATTGAATATAAGGCTGAGCAGTATACCAAAAAAAATCATATTGCAATATGAGTCATTGGATTTTTTTAATTTTATTCTCACTGAAATAAAATATAAAGATGATGATGATGATGTGATTTTGGTTGGTTATCAAACACACATTTTCCCTTACATCTGGAGAACATGATTTATAGGTCGGGGGGGGGATCTCTGTAGCAGCACAATGCTTCATTTATGGTGTGTTGTGACACATTTTACCTTTTTCTCAAAAACAAATTTCAGCTCCTGTGATTTGGATATTGCACTTTCCATGGTATAATTGTTCAGCCCTACAGAAGAAGATTGAATGAAGATAACTTGTTAATTGATGGGATACTGTTCTATTTATCAAAAACTGGATAATAATTTGCACTTTTGTGTTCATACAGTATTTTTCCCCGGGATGTGATGTTTTGCATTTGACGGCTGTGTTGTTGTTAGTGGACACCCGAGCTGTAGCAGAGAGGGAGCCACTCTGTTTGGCAGTCTGTAGCTTTACAGCCCAGTTAAACTGCTGTCCCGTGTTGGCACACGGCTGCAGCTTTCTCCATTTTTGTCATGTGTGCAGTTTGATGCCGGCATGCCAGAGAAGCGTAACTGTGTAAGCTGAACGGTAGTGGTGCTGCACCAAAGGGCCTCGGTGCATAGTCTACAGAGAAGATTAAAGAGTGTGAGCAGATGAGTAACTCGTGCTCGTATTGTAATACTGCACTGAAGAAGTAAAGAGAAATTTGATTGGCAGCTGATCAGATGATGCTGATTGCGCCGCTCACAGCGTGACCACAGCGTTATACCCGCACACGTCACCGGTTTAGTGAGACGTAGTGGAGCCCACAGTTGAAACTAGATCTCACCCCCGTCGTGTTTTAATGTCGGAGCAGTTTTCTTCTTCCATTCAACTTCCCGCAAAATTCATTCACAGCTCTCTGAGATCCGGCTCTGCAACAGACACAGAGAGAAGTTGGGCGAAAAGCATCATGGCCATTCAACCCTGTAGGTTTAGGTAATAAACTCTGCAGCCTCTGTTGAAACACTGCAGAGGTAAGTGGAGCCTCTTTTATAGGCTATTTCATTGGAATTGCTTTGCTAGGAGAAACAGCTTGGATCCATGTTTATTTCCAAGCAGCAAAACACTGCAACAGGAAATGAACTTAGACACATTTAGAAAAAGTTTCAGCCTGAGATGGTGACATGATCTCCAGGAACAGGTTTTTCAGGTGTGTTAGCACGGAGCTACAAGGCTTCTGCTTTCGTTTTAAAATGAGAACGTATGAGAAGCGTGAACGCAGCCTGAGGAAGACGCTGACCCTGTATCTCCAGGGGCGTCAGACTCATGTATTTAATGAGGCCAAATCTGGTCTCAGGTAGATCCAAACCAGGATGTACAGAAACCTCATGAGTGCTCACATTCACGGCTGGAGTTCCCAGCCCCTGCCCTTCTGCTCAGCTTCAGTCTGCTCTGCTCGATAATCCAGAGAGAATCGAATCATCTCCACCGTTAATATCTTCCATATATCTGCTCATATCATGGTGTCTTAAAATAAGCTGTAGCCACATTCATTTTGAGACATTAGCATAATTACTGCGAGCAGTGTATTGCCAAACTAACTGGGGGAAAAAAGAAAAGAAAGGCATCCTCCACCAACCTCTGTGCTGCGTTCGACATCACGGGTCAGTGTTCAGGTTTCGGTGGGAAACGCGCCGAATTGCTCTCTGGCGCCAAACAGGGAGGACGGACTCATGATGGCAGATGGCGGAGAGGGAGCGGAAAGCCAGAGAAAATCACTCCCAACATGTTTCCCCTCTCCAGTGCAGCAGAGGGCCAAACAAATGCAGATCTCATTTGTTTACTCTCATTTATAACAAGTTGTAAAAGAAAAAAAAAAATGTATTTGACGAGACGGTTTAATCTGCACTTTAGCTAAAATATCTACTCGTTATCCTCAATCAGCAAACCCGCCCCCACCCTGTTTGTAGGGACGGAGAGCAGCAGAATGCCCACCAGCTGTGCATTGATAATATCAGATCCATACAAGCCTCGTTCGAGAGTGAATTGTCCTCGAGAGCTCTCGGGCCGTTTTAAGAGACATGTTGTTGTAGCGACGGTTTCCTGAAGGAGTGAAGCAGCCGTTGTCAGGGTTAAATGTTGCTTAGCGATCTTTGATTGCTACGGCAACACGTTGGAATGTGTACGGGCGCCGTAGCCGTCTCTTTTTGTGTAAAGCAAAATACGTGGCACTTTTCATCTGTAAAACCTTTCTGTGAATGACGGGGCAGCGCAAACTTTACCTTTTTTTATTTCTTTTTTTGAGGTGTTATTGTTTTACTTTGAAGGGTTGCTCCTTCATCGGCTATTTCCTCCACACACACACACACACACACACACACACACTCACACACTCACACACACACACTCACTCACTCACTCACAGGCTGTCAGCTGTCAACCTCTCAATCCCCCACCTCTCTCTTCAGCCGATCAGTCCAACACAGGTTTGGGTTAAATGTCTCTCTCTCTCCCTCCCTCTCTCTCTCTTTCCCTCTCTCTCTCTCTCTCTCTCTCTCTCTCTCCCTCTCCCTCTCCCTCTCTCACTCTCTCTCTCTCTCTGTGCTGTTGGATGTTATGGGGAAGAATCGAGGTCAGTACTTGCAGTTTCCTCTGTAGTATGAGATTTTTATTCCTGCCTGAGGGGGTATTGATTTTTTTTCTTTTTTTTTTTCTTTTTAAAGTCATTTAAACTTTATCATTAGTAAACAACAAACAGTGACAGAGAGAGAGAGAGAAAGAGAGAGAGAGAATAACTTATTATATAAACTTCAGGACAGATTCAAACCAGTAAGTTGTAGTTAAATTAAACGAACCTGAGCCTTCTCAATATTCAATCAGTAGTGCAGCCTTGGGGCTATTGATTTCCTGGTGTCAAATAGTCTGAGAGGAACAGATATATCTTGTTACAATGGATGTGAAGGGACCGGCAGTGACGTGCCGCTATCAGTTTAATAAGTTCTCAGGGGTTCTTCCGCGGCTGTTGTGACCCCAAGGTGCTGTGAGGGAGAAACCTAGCTCCCCTCAGCCGTACACACATGTCCAGACAGCAAAAACAAACAAACCCCTCCGTAAAGTTTCTTTTCTCCAGGTCACTCGTTAATGTAATAGTTGGTAGAGCTGGTGGGAGTAGCTTTGTTCCGTAGTGACGCTTCATCGTGGAGGTGGTTTGAATCCCAGTCCTCCTGAGCTGTTTCAGACTGTCTCTGCTGTGACACGTTCATGTATATGAGTCTGAGCTGAAAACACACGTTTAGACGCGTTAATGTCAGCTCTGTATCTGACCCACCTTTAGCTCTACAGTCAAAGGTAATGTTTGTATCGATCTCTCCTCCAACCTAGTACAAACAATGAATTATAAATGTTTTCATTTCTTGAGTCTGCATTAATCCATAACCATGTTGCATTGACATATTATTAATACCGGCCCACAGTGCAGTC